ATTTATAATTATTTTAGTTCGTGAACTTCATTTTACAATTGAATATAAGGATCATACAGAACCTATTACAGTTTTTGATACTGACAGTATTCGTATGTATTTGAGAAAGATTTATTTTAAAAATGAATTCTATCCATATGTATATTTTTTTAGGTCAATTACAATCAAAGATTGCTGAGAAATTACATGTTCCACCGAATCGACAAAAATTTACTAATTGGACTTCAAAGCACTATGACGATCAAGTATGAATTATTTTGATAAAAATCATATTGAGAAATATTTTTCTTTGCATGAAAATTTCTATTGTATTAGAAAAAAAATCAATTAACTAATTAAAAAATATCTGACTCGATATTTCTCCAAAGATGGTATCGCAGTCCTTCCCCTCTCCTCCCACAAACGTTCACTTAAAAAAGAGGTTTGAGTTCCCGTTATATTTTTTTTCTGGTCACATCACTTGTCTAGACAATTCTAAACATGAAAAACATTCCATCTCAGAGATTTCTATATCTCTAATCATTTGATTCAATAAACTAGCTTATATTTCCTCTCTCACAAGATCATTATTTTTTTTTCATCAATTATTTCCTTGAAAATAAATACGTGACATTCATAAAACGTTTTAGACAATCTTGAAAGATCTCAATTTACCTAAAGACAATACTATCCATCTTATAGCAACAGCACCATCAATGATCAATGGCGCTACTCGAACATCATCATCATCAGCATCATCATCCGCAACAACTACAACTACCTCTAGGTACGAAAAAATTACGTCAATAAGAAGAATTTTTTTTTTTTGTTTTTCTTTAAATTTAGCCGAACTTCTCGTCATCCAACAACACCACCAAAGAATGCCTCAACGACAGCAAGTCCTTATTTTCCAATAACAGTGCTATATGAAGATAAATCAGGCAAATCAACACCATATGAACTTGTTTTAAAACCAAATACAACAATTGGCGAAGTTTGTTTTTCTTTTCTCTTTCTTTCTTTTAATTGAAATAAAACAAAGAAAAATATTTCTAATATTTAGATGAAAAAAGAAATTGAACATGCAACTCGTTTACCTACTCGACAACAAAATTGGACGGGTTTATTCGGTGCAAAAGATTCAGTAATATTTCAGAATTACACAAAACAAAAAAAGTTATATCTAATTCAATTTTCTTCATAGGATCAATTACGTCAAACATCCATTAGCCGTAAAGCTCATCTTATTGTACGTAAAATTGAATCATCATCAAATCAAAAAATATCACCAAACAAACCCGATGTAAAAGTAAATCTAATTCATTTAGGTTTTTTTGTTTTCAATTTATTATTTTATATAATAGCATTCAACATTGATTAAACAAGGAAGTGAAGACGAACCGATGGATGTTGATCCTGTAATTGATTTAGAACAAGATGATGATGATATTAATTCTCTACCTCGACTTTCAAACACAACAACTACTACGAATGTTACATCAAATCGAGAATTACTCAGTAAGTTAATTATATGAGATAAAAATATTACTAATAATAATAGTTTTTTTTTTGTCCATACAGTTCCTGATCGTTGTACAGATGATATAATGGGTCTTGAACATTTTTCGCGTGTATTTCATGCGCGTTTTGGTTCAACAGGTCCAATTCTTTATATTGGTTCATTAGATCAAGCTATTCAAGATTCTCTATATACGTCTAGAAATGAAGTAATTCATAAACTCTATGGTTTTTTAAATATATATGTCGGCGTCATATCTAAGATTCGAGTTTGAACAAGTCTAAACTTGAATCAAGAAGAAATCTGAAACTAAAATACAGTTTTAGTTCTAAAATCGATGTTGAATTTCGAATTTTTATTTTTTGATACAGGTGATGATACTTCTTTTGTGCATAGCCGATCGATCATGAAAGTTTGATTTACTTAAAACTTGTTCGAACTAGTTCTGACTTTTGAATCGAGTATTATAAAAGTAAATACTACCAGTTTGTCGTAGCTAAAACCCATTGGATCTAATCCGATAGGTTCTAGTTGTAGCTTATAAATGAAAAGTTCCAAATCTAACAGTGATTTCAAAGTCAAAATTGAGTTTTAATTCTAACTTTTTGTTCCATTCAAGTTTGGACTAATTCAAACTCTTAGTTCTTAGATTGAACGCTGACATAAATATCTTTTTTTCTTATTCCTATTTAATTAATAGAGACGTCCATTAGCTATTTATCTTCATAATGATCGATCAGTGTGTGCTAATGTCTTTTGTGCTCAAGTATTAGCTAGTGAAACAACTATCGAATATTTAGCAAATAATTATGTTGTATGGGCTTGGGATATAACAACAGATGCTAACCGAACAAGGTACCAGAAAAAAAAGACATGTTCTTATTTTTTTTTCAAATATTTTATTTTTTTTTTTAGATTATTAGAAACATTTAAACGATGTATCGGTCCTCAATATGCTCAACGTATATCTGTTATGGAAAAAGATGCATTTCCACTTTTACTTATTCTTATACGTACTCGTGGTTCATTAGAATTAATCAGTATTATTGAAGGTAAAAATACACCTAGTGAAGTTTTACTTAATCTTATACAAACACATGATATATATGAACAACAACGACAACGTGATGCTGAAGAAGAAATATCACGTGAAAAACGTGAAAATCTTAAAAAACAGCAAGAAGATGAATATAATCGATCATTACAAGCTGATTTAGCTAAAGAACAAGCACGATTAGCTGATGAACGAAGACAAAAAGAAGAACATGATGCTAATGAACGAAAACAAAAAGAAGAACATGATGCTAATGAACGATTAAAACAAAAACATTTAGTAAATATCTTTTCTTTTTTTGTTGCTTAATTTGAAAAAAAATAATTAATTTGTTTTATTAAAGCAACAACAACAAGAGTGTAAAGCTCGTCTACCTCAAGAACCAAATGAAACAGAAAAAGATATAACTCGATTAAAAATTCGTTTACCAAATGATGAGGGCATTTTAATGAGACGTTTTCGTATTAATGATACTCTTCAAGTATATTTTATTCTTTTAAACACTAATAGATATTTCTTTATCTAAAATATATTTAGATTCTTTTTGATTATTTGACAAGTCAAGGTCGTATGTTTGGTGAATACAAACTTTTATCAACCTACCCAAAACGTGATGTATGTTATCAATTATGTTTTAATATTATTTTATATATATATATATATATATATATTGTATTTTTGCTTTTCTTTTTTATTTAGTTGACACAACTCAATCGATTAGATACATTTGAACAGTTAAAATTATATCCACAAGAACAACTCATTCTTGAAAATTTATAGTATTTTCATCACAAAGTATTAATTATATTTAAATGTATATATGCATATTCAAAGAAGATTTTTCTTATGTTCGAAATTTGACAAATTGGAATGATCTTATGTTCGTTTGTGTGTGTGTGTGTGTATGTGTGTATCATATTTCTGTTTAAAATCAAGTTTTTCTTTTCCAACACCTATTGATTCTTCTCATTAAGCTCTCTGTTTCGTTGAAATGACGACATTCTTTTCTATATGCATATCAATGGCAGCTTTCTTTTTTTCTGACAGAAAGTCACGATTTTATATCTATAGACTATTTGATCCCATCAAAAAAAAATAAATCGATGTCAACTGTAATGATGAATATTAATGATTTTCTTGAGTCATAGAGGTTTCATTTATTAAGATATTTTTCTTGTAAACAAAAAAACAAAACGTTAAATAAAAATAAAAATGACGTATGTTACAAATTTTTATATTGAATATAAAATTTCATTTTTAAAAGTCAAATATCAAATGTTCATTCTATGTATATCAATAAGAAACTCAATGGTATCTTCAGAGAATTCATGTATTAAATAAATTGTTTAGATATTCATATACATAGTTAGAAATTTTGACGACACTACAAAAAATGATCTTACATGCATAGGATAAATATCTTTGGTCAAATCATATTCTATTCAGAATTGTAATCGGTCCGCTTCAGCCAGTTCAAAAAACTTTTAGACCAGTGAAAACCAACAAAAACGAACCGGGTTATTGGATTATTATTAATTAGTTAATGGAAATGGTTTCGAAAAACATTCATTTCCCTTTTTGCATTCAGATTTTTATAAATCTTCAGAAAGAAACATCTTCTTATAGTCATTCATATATGTTAGATTTTCTCAAAGATGATATGTAATATTTCTATATGCAGCATAAAAAAAAGAGTCATTTAACAAACGATGATCCAAACCTAAATTTGATCTTTATCAAAACATATATGATATAAGTTTAATGTAAGTAACACAGTTTTGATTGAGCTTTTAAAAAAAAATGAAATATACTTCGATTAAGGGAATAAAATAGTGTAGAAAAAGTTTTATCAGAGAAAAATAGCATATCTGTAAAATATATTTCAACCGGTAAAGACCGGCCAATCCAACCATTTCAACGAATTCAGTCCTACAGAACCAGCTATAACTCTGATCCAACTAGGGATGTGTAGTTTCAGTTTACTGACTACTGATTGAGTATAGTTAGTGCTAGCACCAGTGTTCATTGATCTATTGGAACACACTGCCACAAAAAGGGCATATTTTCATAGAGTTGGTGTGTCAATATTGCAGCAAACGCGGATGTCAATGTAGTCAGTGCTTCAATGAACACTGATACCAATATAATCAGTGCCCAGAAAACTCTGTATCAGTAATTCAATGTTCAATATTTACAACTACACTGCACATTCCTTTATTCTACAGAAGAATCAATGATTCACAATAGTCAATCAATCAACATTGCAAATATTCAAGATATATAACGGCTATTCATTGTTGAAGTACAGCGTATATTGCAAGAAGGACATAGCTGATGTTTTTATTGTTAATCAGTTTTAAATTTAAAAAAATCAAATTAATCAAAGAAATGGATTAAACTAATCTGTTTTTTGTTGGCTGTAGGGTTTACGAAGACATTAACACGTCCTTAACATTTATCATTTTTAGTCTTTCATTGTTGTTCCAAGCTAAAAATGGATGGAAAAGTTTTGAAACAACAATATTATGAATTTTGAATGAATCTGATTGCGTATATTGAATAAGAAGACAAAGGATGCACTATCATACGTGTTATTTTTTTCACAAAACATATATATATAAAGAATGTTCCAGAAGTTCTGAAATAATCTTAACAAAACAAAGTCTTTGCAATTTTAGAACATTATCGAACTCAGTTAGTATTAAATAACTATAAAGTTTCAAGTCATTAAATTTTACTGTAGATGAGAAACTGTAACAACACTATCATACACTATTGTATCAATTTTTCAATAGCTTAAGCTGATATTTTTAAATCTAAGTAACTTTTCGATATAAGACGAAATAAATATCGATTCATTAATATTTCAGTGTTTGATTATTACCTTGATGCATTTCTAATTTTAATTATAGTCTTATTCATCTATCATTCTTTGATATTGAAAAAAAACTAAATTTGTTGTATTCCATTGTAATGTCATTTTTTTTAATTATCAAATTTTATTTTATTATTGCTCTCATCATTGCTCTTTTAATACATCCTAAATATATTCTATCGATTCAATAGATCAACTGATTGTACAGCACAATTTTCTAGTTTTATTTGATTGACAAATAACACATTTGATAAAATTCAAAACTATGCATATCCTTTGTTTAGAGTCTTGATCATCTTGAAAAATTAATTTTTCTAAATTACCTAATTGTTTAGCTGCCTTTCTTCTGTTATTAACCTTTGTATTTCTTCTATCGACATACACAACAATGAAAATAATGTTCGTGAAGGAAACATATTTTGTTTTGGCATATGTTTCATAAGGATACCCTGAGATCAATATTTACCTCAACATTGTTATATCGCAATTTATCGCGAAAGCAATTGGAGAATTGATGAGTGTATATTAGTGCTGTTACAGTTTCTCATCTATAGTAAAAGCTATCGACTTGAAAGGGTTGATTTGGGTGTAGCTACGAATCTTCTATTCATCGACACATACACAAACACTCATACTCTTGAATTCTTAGAGTTTCTTGGATACAATTGAGTTGTGGTCGATGACTATTTATTTATTTTTTTATTAGAAGGAAAAGAAAAGTTGTTTATCGAAATGACATGACTATATATGTGAAGCATTTATTTAATACAAGGCATTGTTTGAGAATAGACACAAAGACAACATTAACACATAGAAAAAGTTCTGCTTATGTGAGTGAGAACATTTTGAATGAATTCGATGAACTGGTTGAAAGGTACATAAGAAATTTCGCCATGCTACAACAATAATAAAAATCGAATAGAAAGTGCAAACATTAACTTAGCGAAACAGATAAATAAACTAAATAAATAAATCGACAACGAAGAATGTAGTCACAATCTATTTTTAGCCATAACTGTGTCGAA